ACATGCTAAAACAGAATTTGGTTACAATAAAACATAAGGTTGGAAAAATAAAAACATTTCATAGGGCCCTAAACATGTAATATTTGTTAAACTTTTAATAAATTGATGTTAAATTGTTTAAGTTTTATGATTTTAATTAATTAGACATGCGGTTTGATTAATAAAATGTAATTTAACCATTAAAAAGGAGTCCAGAAAAAAAGGGGGAAAAAACGGAACTTGTAACTTTTATGCTTAGAGCAGAACCATGCATCGTTCATTTATATTTTTCTACATGGCTCCCTGCAATAAATACAACTCTGATTCTTCAATCACGCCATCTAGTGGTCTGTTATTGATACAACCACAACTGCTACAACTGATAACGGAGCACTCAGAGTCATGTTGAGGTCATTAAAATGTGTCAAATTAATATTTTGCATTCAATTATTTACTTATCAGACAAGTGGCCGCATGATAAGCGGGAAAATTACATTGTGTAGTCTTTATCACCCTGCAGAGGTTTCTTTTAATTATAAGTAAAAAACAAACACAAATTATAGTGGCATTCACTATAAACATATATTATAAACTCCCAGCCTAAATATTTACAGCGAAACTGAAACTAGTGCGTGGTCGCTAGAAAATGCACAATACAAACTCAAAACAAACTCACTTGCCTTTTCTCGTTTGTTATCAATCCTAATGAGCGCGCTTTGCGCTTAACCTTGATTGCTTTATATAATTCGCCTTGGAAATCGGAGCACGTTTCAGATGAAAACCCCCCCCGCAATTTATAATCTAGAAAATAAAAACACTACTATATGCATTTTCATAAAAATGTGTGTGGAACGCAGAAGAAGAAAGCAAGATAAAACGACAAATTATTTCCATGTTTTCCCCTCGAAATTACAGCACACGTGAGCAGGAGGATATCACTGGCATTTGTTCTGATACTGGAAAGTCTACAGAGTATTTTAAGTATTTTTAAAACAGTACCAATACAAGGCATTTTTCAAAACAAATGAACACTTTCATTTTTAAAACAAGTAACTTAATTACAATTGTGCCAGTTTTGTAGGGTATATATTTTGACTTTTTTATTTAGTATTTGCTGTGCGGCTTGAATGCGGCGTCCGTCAAAAATAGACTAGGTGCCTATCTTTAGCGAAGCAGCGCGGAGAGCCGCTTTTGAAACGTGCCGCAGCGTGGCTGGTGTAAACACAAGCATTGACTCGAGTGGCCGCGATCAGGGGCCTGTTTCAATAAGGTTTTTGGTTTCAGAACAGCTGAATTGTGAGTAGGTTGACTCTTGAGTTTAGCGCATGCACCACGACTATGAAAAGCCATGACCAATGGAGCTCCGGCATTATGATTCAGCATGGCAACAGCTCCCGCCAAAAAGACGTCCGCATACTTCAGAATCAATACAAGTTTAATTCTTATCACTGTTATAATATCACAGGTGAAAACTGGCAGAACGGTAGGTTACTGAACTAATAGGCTATTCATTTTCATTGTATCTCACAGGTAAAAAAAAATATAGAAAATAATAATAATAATAATTTAAGTGCATTTTTCTTATTTTGCAAATGATCTATCAATAGGGTAAGAAAAATATGGCAGTGGCTATTTACACTAAGTAGAATTAGGATCTATCACTTAGAAAGTATGCTATTTACAGTCATTGCAAATAGCTCTAGATGCTATTTATACTTTAAAATAGTGAAAATAGTGATATATTCTATTAACCATGTAAAAGTAGCAGTTCTTTGCAATAAGTGTAAATAATAATTAGATGCTATTTATACTGGCGGATACATACTATTTGCACCTCAGTATTGTTGTTGGCGTGTGAAGGCATCTCCACAACATTATGAAAATACCACTGTATTTGAAGAATATTGGAAGTAAACGGTAAGATTTGCACGTTTCGTTTTTAAAATACGCCAAGTCAGACAATTGTATTTACACTGCAATAAATATAGGCCTATCTGTTTCCACTAAAAATAGCTAAAAGATGTTCACCTTATCAGCAAAACTGCATACATTTAATTTGATTTGAATTGTTTAAAACAATTGAAATACTATTTGGCCAGTGGAAAAGAATGAGGGCAACTATATTCTAAATATTATATTTAGGATATTTTGAGATATTTATTCTATAATATGCATGGAAATGATATGCAGATGAGGTTATGCAGAGTAAAACTAGGCGTTGTAAGCTCTAGGGCTGGGCGGTATATTGAGTTTGTACGATATAACGATATTTTCTTTATAAGCGATTCGATACGAGGCAATACCGTTTATATGGATATACAGTAGTTTGATACGAGCGCATCTGAAAATATAGCGGAGGACACAAACAGAGCTGCTGCGGAGAAAGTGCATGATCAAATTTGTTCTAAACATGTGTCAAGCTTCATATTAAGGCCTTTAAAAACTGGTAAGACATAGTTTATGGTTTAATTTCGCATATTAGTTTAAGCAGCTCTGACAGAAAGGCTGTGTGTGCCGCTGACAGAGACGCTAGCTACTCGCGCTGTTTAATGTGTTTGAGATGTGCTGTCTTCCTGAATGCAGAACTTGCATTTCACAGGAATATTCTCCATCTGTAAATGTTAGAAAGCCATGGAAATATTTCCATTTTTCTGTCAGAAGTGCATGAGCCTTCTGCTTTGGGATTCTCCGCTAAACTTCACAAACAGACAGAGCTCAATCAAATAGGAGCGCAATAATTCTGACTAAAATATACATTTCGCTGAAATATTTGTAGTTGGACAATAAATGTGGCCTGTAGGATTTTAAATCTACAAGTAAGTGTATTTTTATGATAGCACTGACTGTAAAGTGACTGTAATGAAGTAATCAAAATAGCCTAACACAACTCACAACTTTAAATTTTTAGTTTAGTGAATTTAACTTCCGCTTTAAAAGCCTTATTTTTGTTTTTAGATTGCAATGTTACAATGTTAGAATGAAATCACATAATATAAAGGCTTGCATGGTTACATTCAATTTATTTATCTTCATAGCCTTTAATATGTATTGTTTTGTTGGACAACATTGGGCGGTAAGTGAAATTATACATTATATATATATATATATATATTATATATATATATACACATACATATTAAATAAAAAAATTTTATAATCCAAATACAAAAATACCGAGATATATACCGTATATCGCAGATTGGCCAAAAAATACAGAGATATGAATTTTTGCCCATATCGCCCAGCGCTAGTAAGCTCCATATATGGTTATTTCGGGGAGGAGATGCACGTACACACAATCTTCCCCTGACTGGGATTTATAAAGGGATTTCTGCACAGGTTCGGGCGTACTAATCCAGCTTTTATGCGTACGCACACTTTTAGGATGAAATCTACGGAGAGTTTTATACACGAGACCCCGGGTTAGGTTCACAGAGTATGTTACCACGGTTACCTCTCTTTCAGAAACGGGCTTGACTTACCCTGCTTTCCCGGGTTTGACAAACCTCCCGTTCTGAAACACAAAACCCAGAGTTTCCCTCATTTCAGGGTTAACATACTCAAGAGTTTTCACTTAACCTCCTTTCTGAAACGGGCCCCAGCTCCTGAGCGGCGCTACGGTGTAAATCACTACAGGCTACAGCGCCATCTATTGGATTTTACTGATATTGCATCAAATTAGCTATTTTGGACCAACTGCTTCACGGCACGGATTTTGTAAGAATCCCTCGCGGGCCGCCACAGGAGTGATGGAGGGCCACAGGTGTCCCGCGGCTCGTAGTTTGGACACCCCTGGTTTAGCAGATGGTAAGTTAAGCTTGTTTTCTGGAATACTCTCCAGGTAAACGTCAGCTGTGCGGATGCTAGGGCTGGGTTCAATTTCTCACTTTGATAAACCAAGATCGTTTTGTCTTTGCTGTTCTCAGTTGATGCTTGAACAAAATCAAAACATTATTTGTATCTAGGAGCCATCTAGTAATCACAGTAAGTTTTGTGCTTGGTTACAAAGTCTCCATTTTCAATTTTGAAACACCATTAATTTCTGCAGAGCTGGACATTTCCAAACGAGCGAGCTGAGCTTTGAGAACGAAACCAACCTGTTTGTTCCTCAGTGTCTTCTTGTTTCAGACTGAACACTTCTTCAATCCTGAAGTCTTCAGTCTCCTCTTTAATAAACGCCATCTTTATAAGTGTGTGACGAGGTTCTCAGTCGCTTCAGCAGGAGTTTCTCTGTTTAAGATGAAGAGAACAATGAACAGAGAGCTAAATAAACCCTCTAAACTACATCTCTCCATCAGCTCCCTAGTTCAGCAGTCAGCACACTAGTAAGGGAGCGAGAGTTAATCACCTGATGAGACAAAAACACTCAGAACCAGTGCAAAGAGCACAAGTTATACAGACAGCTCATATTTAGTTGTGATGTATATACGGCGAATCAGAATTTAAGTTACACTTGCATGAGAACATTTTCAGCAGTTTGTAAGAGTTGTGTTTGTTGTTCTCAGCAGCTGACGTCAGCGAGCGGAGATTCGAGTCACTGAATCATTAGAGAAGCAACCGATTCAATCGAGTCACTGAATCATTAGAGAAGCAACCGATTCAATCGAGTCACTGAATCATTTGAGAAGCAACCGATTCAATCGAGTCACTGAATCATTAGAGAAGCAACCGATTGAATCGAGTCTGAAAAAGCTCCGTTTCTCCGTCACTGCTTATAAGTGAGCGTATAGTGTTTCTGATGAACTGATTCAGACGCACCGCTTCTGTTACTAGTGTGCGGATGCGTTTACTCACACTAAATAACGCTTATTAATGTTAGATAAAGCATTACAATGTTACATTCAATAGCAGATCATTAATCTTGCGTCGCTTAAACACTATATATTTGACTGAACGGGTTCTATCAGTTAAAACAGTTTAAATGCTTAAAAACACAGACCTCTCTTGAGCCGAATCACAACAGACGCGGGAGCGCGCGCGCAGGCTTATGACGTCACGCCGCAGAGCAACATTAAAGTCCTCTGAAGCAGCAGCAGCTCAGTCAGAGAAACCCTGCAGCTGCTCTTACTGTGCAGCAAACATCTGATCCTAACTGTGCATTACTCATATAGCCTCATTATCAGCGTTATTTACATTTAAATAATATAAATGTAACCTAAAACAGATTTGTTAGACACACTCTCACCAGATTTAATCTTATAGAATTAAACATGAGGTTTCATTTGTTCCTACATTTTTTTTTTTAAGTTGTACTAAAGTTTTTGGTGAATCGTGATTTGTTGGTGAAAATATATTCATACACAGATTTCACATGCACAGATTTGTGTGTACACATTAGGGCTGTCAAATTTTTTTTTTCGAATTTCGAATATTCGTCGAATTTAAAATAAAAATCCATATTTGAATGCAAAAACGTTGCATTCGAATTTTAGGTGTGTGTTAAGAAGGCAGCTTATCAGCGGCGCACGAGATGCATTTGAATGTTTTTGTTAGCGTATCCAGTTGAAGCCACTAGATGCGGCGCTGCTGCGTTGTTCATTAAAAATATAGAGAACATCAATGCAGAGAAGATCTTGTTTACATCAAAACCGAAACCAAGCCATTCACACGCGAGCCGCATGTTTAGAAAGCCATGTAAAATTAATGCAAGTTCAACTTTGAAAAAAACATATATCGAGACTTTATGGCGCGTTTTCCCCATCCTACTGCATCTCATGTTTTTAAATGAAAAATGTACTCTGTGTGATTGGCTTTCCTCCCTTTGTATTAAACTATGCATACATACATGATGCTGTTTTGTTTATAGTTGTTTAAGCAACTTATTTATAATTGGTTTATAAACATTATGCACTTTTTTTCGCAGATAGTCGTGTTATCTCATGCTTTGAATGATGGCGCCCTCTTGTGGCCTCAGGAGAGAAGCCAAAGCTTTCTGAAATTATGCATTTTAAATTAGAATTTTGATCATATTTAAGTACAAACTTCGAATTTCGTTTTTCAGCCATTTCGACAGCCCTAGTACGCATGCAGTGAATAATCACACAAGCAAGATGAACACATATGGACACCAGGGGCCGTGTGTATAAAGCCGCTCAGAGTCAAATTTGTGTCAACATTCTAAGAATGATGTAATTTTACTCTTAATCCTAGACTTAAGAATAAGAGTGATTCATAAAGGTTCCGAAGTGTTAAAACTAGGTCTCGGCTCCTAAATTATTTAAGAGAGCCGAAGAGGTCTCCTAATCTAGTTAGGAGTAACAAGACGGCAGCAAAGAGGAGCAGACGCACACTTTCCAGCGAAGATATGATATATTGGAGTTACATGATGATATGGATTTGATAAAACAATACAAACTTGATTGTCAAGATCAAAACGTTTTTTTTTTTTTTGTTTTTTTGTAACTGACAAAGTAAGAAATTTAATAACCTCTTCCACTCAACAAGTCAATGCTTGTAAATGCAGAAATGTAATAAAAAATGTTTTGGCTGGAAATGTGGGAAAATGATGACACAGTACGCAGACACAACAGTGGCCAAAAGTGATGTGTGGATTTTATTTAATTTTTATGACCCCAAATTTCACTTAAACCATCAAAATACAAAGGACAAAAAAACACTGACCAGTATTGCCAACTGCTTTCAATTGAAAGTAGCAACCGGTGTTGCTAGATGACGTCATAAAGGTGCGTTCACTGATCTATATTTATATTTATATACTGCAGATCAGTGAACTCGCCTTTATGACGTCATGGGAGAGTCTCGGATGTAGATAAGGTTTGTCCAAGAAACTGATTTTGTTGCTTGGCTTCTGAAAAAAAGTCTCTAAAGGGGTGAAGAAGTCACTAACAAAACCACTAAATCGGCAACATTGGCTACAACACAAGTTATTAACATTTCATTGGTCCTCTTGTTTTTGCATGTGTTCATAATTTCTTGTCTGTGGAGTGAACGACGACCGAATGCAGAGACAGCTGCTATCAGAAGTGGTGATATCATTTGAGAAGGCACTTACCATCTGCCAGGCAATGGAGTCGGCGAACAAGAACGTGAGGGATTTGCAAGGATTGTTAATTGAGGAGACAGGACAAAATGTGAAGTCACTTAAAGGAGCCACAGCAGTACAAAGAGTGTACTCGTCTGAGAAAACGGGGCGACAAAAAGACAGTGTGTGTTACAGATGCAAAGGACGACATGCGCCAGAGGAATGTAAGTTTCTGAACGAGCTCTGCCATAAATGTGGGCAGCGTGGACACATAAAACAGGCATGCAAGGCAAAACAAACTGCTGTGGGGTGCCAAAAGACTAGTGGGGAAGGGTCACAAGCCAGAAGTCAAGTGCAAGACAAGCAAATGAAGCAGAAGTGTTGCCATGACCAGCGTGCCAAAGAGCGACATGTTTGAGTGTAGGGGATGGTGTGTATACCAAGAACTTCAGTTCAGGACCTACCTGGATTCCAGGAACAGTGCAGAAAAGGACGGGGCCTCTGTCATATACCATGGCACTGGGTAATGGCCAGGTGGTGCGCCGGCACATTGATCAGGTGAGGACCAGATACAGTATGTGGTAGCGCCTGCTGGAGCAGCTGTGGGGTTGGAGACTTCCTTGAAAGACGTGGAGGAGTTGCCATTGCCTGAACCAGTAAGCCCTGCACCACCAGAGGACAGTGTTGTACAGCAGACAACTGGAATTACACCAGAGACTTTAAAGGCAGAGGAGCAGCCTGAACTCAGAAGGTCTACAAGAACAAGGAAGTTGCCCAGTTGACTTTGCTTAGAGTAGTGGTGAGTTCCCCAGCCACAGGGCAAGAATGCATCCTGGAACTCACTGGGATGGAGGCAGTCTACCCGAAGTCCCTAGCTTAGGCTATGTGATAAATTGTAAAAAAATAAATAATAATAATGTTCATATAATGCTGTTGATATATATGTGTGACCAAGTTGTTGAATGACTAGTGTTATCAGGGTTAAGGGAATGTAGTGAAGTCTTAAGCATTATGTCATTTGGGAGTGTGACCACTAGAGGGCGGTCTCAGATAACAGGTCGCTTACCACTCAGAGCTCAGAAGATTTGTTGTTGTCCTAGCCAAAACCTGCTCGTGGTTGCAGTGTTTGGCATCTGTAAAAAATAAAGAAACATGAATTGCATCCTTCTGCCTCCGTATTCTGCTGCCTCATAGGATATCACAAAGTCTTTGTCGTATCTGTTATGCTTGGCCAGTGTTGTTGTGGGTTTTGGTTCTTTTGCTATTGTAGGACCTTTGAAATAACTGCATTTGGTGAAGTGATATGAACATGTAATGCTGTGAAGACCTGCCTGGAACTGCTTAATATAAATAACTGCACACCTTAGAATATTAACCAACCGATCAAAATGAAGCCCAGCCCAGTAGTATAACAATCATTTACTTTTTAGCTGACGCTTTTACCCCAACCAACTGATTTAACACCTTCTATGGGTCACAGTTTATGAGTAAAATAGTTCCCTGGACTCTTGTGTTGTTAGTGTCATACAGTACTGATGGAGTCATGAGTACACATACACTGGAGGAGAAAGTTCTTGGGAATTTCCATTCAGTTTCATCAGAAACCAGGTTAAACAGACAGTCTTCTGTGCTCTTCTTATTTCTTGGTCAGCTTTTGTTGTTCATAGCTCAGATACACAAGATGTCATTCCAGTCTGTGTGATCTAGTACCACAAAAAAAGAAAAGCATCTTCTCTTTTTATGTGGCTAACAATATCTGGAAACAATCCAAGCTTCTTGTATCTGCTATCACATGTTTTCCACTTTGAAGTTGCTGATTTTGAAAGTGAAACTAAGAGTGAAACTGAAAATGTCACAAGACCAGGAACGTCCCCTAACTCACTCTAGACCAATCAGCATCCAGAGTTTGGAGCTGAAGGTGTGTCTAAGAAACATGGGTAGAATATCAGGAAGCTGCGACATGAACACAACACTCTATGAGTGAGTGTGTGTGTGTGAACTCTACAGTCTGACTTGTCTTGATAGATGTTCTGGCCATGTTTTGTTAGAGCACAAAGGACTTTGTTTATGTGACATGATTAACTTGTATTTTACCTCTCTATTAGAAACCAGCATCAACTAAACCCAGTCTGGTTAAAGACTGTAGCTGGGCACAAACAAGTCTGACAGCATTTCTATGTGTCTTACTCAGCCTGCTTGTGTAGTTTGATGTGAAAGTGTGTTGTTAAAGCAATATTTTACACAAACAGAAAGAGGAAAGGCTGCTCATGTGGGGAGTTACTGTACTAGTGACTGTCTAATTGTTACGTTCCCGTTTTATAATTAATCTAGGGGAATAGACTAAAAAAAGTCAGCAATATTGAGAGTTGGGTTTAACAGTCTAGGTGGGAGCACAGCAACACTACACTAACTGAAACTCTAGCACAGATTTGATATTACGTATCAGTCAGCAAACACCAAAAACAACAACTAGCAACACTTGTCTGGGGCTGCAGAGAAGGTCCATGTGGAGAGAGAGAGACGGCTCAAACTCTCTCCTTTCCTCTCTCTTTCAACTGTGCTTTCTTTGTGGTTTTTATAGCTGGTTTCCTCTCTGGAGGAGCCAATGAATGAGGAGTTGAGGTAAAATTCGTCCCCTGATCAGTTTGAATTAATCTGGGCAAACCAAATTTTACAATCTCCTTCAACACTACCTGTGCCTTTAATGTACGTAGCGGTACAGCCTCGGGGTAACGAGTAGCAGTACACATCATTGTTAAAATGTACTGATGCCCATGTTTTGACTTTGGAAGAGGCCCTACACAATCAATCACCAACTTTTCAAATGGCTCACCAATAACAGGAATTGGATTAAGGGGAGCTTTTGGGACAGTTTGATTTGGTCTGCCTGCACGCTGGCAGACATCACAGGAGCGACAAAAATTAGACACAGTGGATTTTACTCCAGGCCAATAGAAGTGCTTTGTAATGCGCTGAAATGTTTTGTTGACACCGAGGTGCCCCGCAAGAACATTTTCGTGTGCCAATTTCAAAACTTGAGAACGGTAACTGGCAGAACATCCAATTCGTATGTTCTGAGAAGTGGTGTTTTGCAAGCAAAATTACCACTTTCAAAGAGTTGCAAGAATTGGTCTTATTGGAAGACTTTAAAACATGCGTGCCGGAAAGTGTTGTAGTTCATTTAAACGAACAAAAAGTGACACAACTCTCGGATGCAGCAGTACTTGCAGATGAATTCACGCTTACCCATCGGACGTTTTTTTATTCTGGACGTCAAACAAAAACCATTTTATCTGCAGAGTCTGTAGCTCAAGATGCACATCGCGGTAATGGCCATAAAATTGGTGGCAGAGCTAAAACCGTTTCAAGAAATACAGGTGAAAAGAGAGTTTGCTTTTATTGTCTTGATCCTGGCCATTTGATCACTGATTGTCGAGCTTGGAAGGACAAAAAAACAACTGAAAAACTAAAGCATGTGGCATTAATACAATCTGCTCCTGATTTGTGTGCCACTGATACCTCATCTTTTGAACCGTTTCTTCGGCCAGGCTATGTATCTTTAGCTGGCAGTCCTAATGTTGAGTGCGTGCAGATTTTGAGAGATACGGGATCAGCCCAGTCCTTCATTTTGGAAGATGTGCTGCCTTTCTCTGATGCTTCGTATACCGGCGCAAATGTTTTAAAGTCTTCCAATAAGACCAATTCTTGCAACTCTTCGAAAGTGGTCATTTTGCTTGCAAAACAGGAGTATTGGAGTATTTCTCAATGCGGTTGATTAAAGGAAGTGAAATGTGTTTGGGTCTCCAGTGGTCATGGACAAACCAGTGTGCTTGATTGACACGGCGTCCGATGGGAAGCTGTGTGTGCAGGGGTCAGCGTTGCAGGTTCTGGAGCAGATCCAGCAGCCCGTGGTGGTGGTGGCTGTGGTGGGTCTCTATCGCACCGGGAAGTCCTACCTGATGAATCGACTGGCCGGGAAGCAAACAGGTCAGCAGCACTGATGCCATCCAAACGCTCGTGCCCTTCAAATGAATGCATGCAAGTCATTGTGGGGTTTCTGGTGTGTGGTTATCAGGGTTTGCACTGGGCAGCACAATCGAGTCCAAGACGAAGGGCATCTGGATGTGGTGCGTGCCTCACCCCACTAAAGCAGCAACCACTCTGGTGCTGCTGGACACCGAGGGACTCGGAGACGTGGACAAGGTGACAAACTAAAGTAGTTCTATCATATATTATCTATATGTCTTTCTGTCTGATGGTTGGTCAGTTGTCCAGGCCTAGTGGCCAAAGTTCTGTATGCTTGTTTACTTTTTGTAGTGACCGACCCAAACAAATATCACACTGTACAATGTACACCAATCTCGCAATCACTGATCATTCAATATCAGGGACTGTGTGTCTGTTATGGGTTGTGGTCTCATGTCGTCTTATCCTGTCTGTCTCAGGGCGACTCAAAGCATGACACCAGGATCTTCTCTCTGGCTGTCCTTCTGAGCAGCACTCTAGTCCTGAACAGTCGAGGAACTATTGACAACAGGGCTATAGAGGAACTGCAGTATCCTTCTGATCAGAACTTGTATTTCATTTTCAGTTTGAAGTTTGTTTAATATGAGAGCTTGCAAATAGGTTAGTACTATGTAAATTAGAAAGACTCCATGTAAAGCAACCTCCAAATTATAGATGTCTTTTGTCCATTTTGGAAATTAGCCATTAGCTAGAATTGCTCTGGTACAGCTCTTCTCAGTTTACATGATTGCTTTTATGTGTTGCAGTGAATGTTCAACAGTCCTTTAACTCCTACTAAACAGATACGTCACTGAGCTAACAGAGTACATCAAGATCAAGTCACCTGATGAAGCTGTAGATGATGCAGAGTTTGTCAAGTTCTTCCCCAGTTTCATCTGGGCCGTGAGGGACTTCACGCTGCAGCTAAACATCGATGGGAAAGACACAACAGAGGACGAATACCTAGAGTTTGCTCTGAAGCTAAAACTAGGTAATATTTAAAGCCTGAAAGTTTTATTACCAGTTTTGTCAAACTGCGCAGCTAGATTATCAACATGTGCTTTGTCATTCTGTTAGCAAACTAAACTTGTCTAGCCACTTCCAGTCAATGATTTTAGCTTTCTGTGTTTATCTACAATGATACCCAAGATCATTTATCTTTAACAAGCTAGCAGTTTAAAGTTTTCATTATGTGCCCTTACCAAAAAGAAGTATACTTCAAGTTTATTTTATTAAGTATACTTAAGTAAAGTTCAAGTATATTTTAAGTATACTTTATGTAGAAAGTATACAAATATCAGTGTACTAGTAGTATACTTGTGAGCGTACTATTTCAATACTCCTTGCGACTAAATTGGCCCACTTTCTAGTATATAAAAGTATACTTTTAAGTATATTTTAAGTATAACAGTAGTAAACTTTGAGTACACAACTAGTTTACATCAAAATGTTTAGTTTGTACTGCAACTATACTAAAAGTGAACTTATAGGTATACTGATAGTTTACTAATTAAATACTTGTAATAGCATTTTTAGTGAAATTCTTTTGAAGTGTAGTCTCAGTAAACTACTAGTTTAGTAGTTTTATACTGCAAGTATACTCGTAAGTTTTCTTTAAGTGAACTTTACATCATACTTTAAGTATACTATGTCCCTATTCATTAATGTGTATATATTTTGTTATATGATTATCTGAACATACAAAACATCAAAAGAAAGAACAGGGTATCTGCTTGTAAACAAAAACATTTTATTCTAGCTTCATGCATTCTTTTTTATAAACACTTGAATGTGGGTAAGTTTCATAAATAAAAATAATAAGAAAGAAAGAAAGAAATAAACAACAATTTAAACAAAAAGCTGAAAAAAGACTGAATTGGATTCAGAATGATAATCGAAACGTAGATAGTCGATCAACACCCCAAAGCTTGACAATAATTTTTACCTCTTTATTGGTTGACATTTTATTCCATAACGTTGCACAGTTTTGATGCTGTTTTATGTCTGATGATCGTGTTAGATTACGTGTGGAAGCATCTGTTGTTTCGGTTTCTTCTTCGCTCTTTCCCTGTTTTGGAAATTCTGTACAGAAGATTTGTATTAGCGCCCCCTACCGTATAACAATGAAAGCATTTTCAGAGCACAAGTACAGCTCAAATAAATCTAGACTTTTTCTAAGTATAAGTATACTTAAATGTCATTTTAAGTATATTTCTGAGAAGTACATAAAAAGTAGACTGAAAGTATACTTTCCTATTTTTTTTAGTTTAAGAAGTATACTAATAGCACACTTGAATAAACTTCTTTTTCGAAAGGGTGCACTGTGTATTTTGACTGAAGGACAGCTTTGTGTTGTTCTCTTGAAGGTAACTCGAGTCAAGTGAACAATTACAACCTTCCAAGAGAGTGCATTCGCAAATACTTCCCATCTCGGAAATGTTTCACCTTCCCGTTCCCAACCAATCCAGACAATGTCTCTTATCTGGAGACACTGGACCCAGCTGAGATTTCAAAACGATTCTTGGAGGTCACGGGTCGTTTCTGCCAGTTTATCTTTGACCAGAGCCAAGTGAAAAATCTGAAAGATGGACACACGGTCACCGGCAGAGGTAACTCGTTGGTTCATGTAGACAGTGGCTAATCCAAGAGATCAAATTTATTTCTATAGCCCTTCTCACAATACACATACTGTAGTTGTTTCAAAGCAGCTTTCTAGAAAGTAATACTGGCATGTCTGCAATGCCTTAATACTTTAACTTTGAGCAGTTTTAGAGCTGGGCGATATGATTTATGTTGAGATTTGGCCATACTGTATTTATTACTTTGTCTAGCATATAAATCAGTGCCAGGACTAAATGAAAGTACTGACATCAGAGAAAAATGGAGAGAAGCTTTAATGGTATGGCATTAAAATGCAGTGTTGTGTTGTGTTGAGATATATTAATGCAAAAAGCCATATATAACTCGCACAGCTTCAAGTAATGTCTTGGTATAGAAAGAAAACTCATTTCAGGCATTACTGTGATGGGAAGTTACTCGTGTCATGGTGTAAGATTTTGGTCATATCGCCCAACTCTAAATGGTTGAATCGGGGAGATGCTAGAAATTCACTTCAAAATGATGTGTTGCCGGTTAAACATACCGCATGGCTGGCTAATGCGTTCAATATTGATAGCAACCACAGTTCCGGTACCACAAGCTTTTCAGCAAATACTGTATTGCTCACCGTTTAGTTTTAGTCTTGTTGCTGTAGCCACAACACTAGCAAGACAGTCTCTTAAAGTTCACCCGAGAATGCCATTCTTTCGTGGAACATAGAAGAATTTATTCTGAGAACTGTCTGTAGTTTTTTGGACATACAAATGGAAGTCAATAGAAGCCAAAATGGTTTAACCCAAAACAGTGTTTTTCGAGTGAATTATGCTTTTAATGTTTTGGACTCTTAATGTTTTCTGTCTTTGCATCTTTATTCATCGACAACTAAAGCTTGAAAAACACTGTTCCAAAACTAAAGCTGATAGGATTGCATCCATTTATTTTGTACCGTACTTGTGTTTGACTCCTCTGCTTTCCTACAGTTCTGGGTCATCTAGTAAAAACATACGTAGACACCATCGCCAGTGGAGCTGTGCCGTGTCTGGAGAACGCTGTGATCTCAATGGCACTGATTGAGAATGAGGCTGCGGTGAAGGAGGGGCTTGAGGTGTACCAGAGTGGAATGGAGGAGCTGAAGAAGTCCTTCCCTCTGGAACTGAACGAAATCACCTCGGAACACCAATGCTTCAGTCTCATGGCAACACAGACCTTCATGAAACGCTCCTTCAGGGACAGTGATGGGAAGCACTTGGCATCTTTAGAGGTCGGTGGGAGTGGACATGCCAGATTACAACAATAGAAGTCACTTTATGGAAAACGACATGAAACTCACAGCTAGGACTCCAATAGCAACATGGCTGACAAAGTTCATTCAAAGACCGATTATTTAATAACAATCCAATTAACTTTAATTTACAAATGCACACAATGGTTTTAAATGTCATGTGAGAAGTTAAAGAATGAGTAACAACGAGAGCTGCCCTATAAAGTTTCGAATCATGACGAAGCAAACTTATCAGGGAACAAAGCGGCTCAGAAAGACATTAACTTGAGCAAATTTCAGAAAACGAGACATACTGTATCTTAAGTCATATCGTAATAAAAGTTTTAGTTTTTGCTTAAAACAAGAAAAAATATCTGCCAGTGGGGTTAGAAAAATAACATTGTTTTCCCTTTCAATTAAGATTATTTTTCTTATCCCATTGGCAGATATTTTTTCTTGTTTTAAGGAAAAACGAACAAACTTTTGATGCTTTTTTTTTCTCAGACTTAATATCTCGAGTCATTTTGCTTCTCAAGAAAAAGTATCTTGTTTCAAGGATGTTTAAATATTTGATATTCGTACTAGAAATCAAGACAAAAAGTAAGAAAATCATTTATTTGCAGTGTAGGGTAAAGCATGTAGTCTCTAAATCTTCTGCAGTAGTCCTGATACACCTATGAGGCCTAGAAGGCAATAAATATAGATGTCCCACCCACTATAAAAACTGAGGACAGCCAACAACTTTAAGATTGAGGCTTCTTGTCTAGATTTTGTGGAAATTCCAGCAATAATCTCAGTTACATATTGAAAATGATGTCTTGTATTATGGGTTTTTTTATCCATTGGTTCTGCACTGTACTAGTGGTATCCAGTAGGGATGTGCATCTCTATAACTGAGGCCGATGCGATACGCATCTTGATGTAAAGCCAACGATACGATATATCCTTCCGGTTTTGTTGTGCTGTTTCAGGAAGCCATCATTCATCAGTTTGACAGCTATCTCTGGGACAATGAGAAGGCCTCCGAGGCTAAATGTGAAAGTCTTCTGTCAGTTCTCTCTGAACCAATGACGGAGAGGACCAATCAAGGATTTTATGCCACAGCTGGTGGGTACGATCTCTTCTGCCAGGACCTGGAGGACATTGTGAATCAGTACAATACACTGGCCTATCAAGAAGTCAAGGTGATGAATGTTACATTAAAGCAGTAGCACTAAGCATCTTCAGATATGAATACTTTCACCATCAGGTTTACACTTCTGTGTTTCTTCATAGGTTGCCGAGGTGTTGGAGAAATTTCTACAGCAGAAGGTTGCAGTCACCACAGCCATTCTGCAGGCTGATGATAAACTAACCGAAAATGAAAGAAGGATTTGCGGTAAGAGCTTTGTGTTTTCAACACAGTAGACACAGTAAGCCTTAAACATGAGAATATGAATAGAATCAACCCAGTGGCACAGTTAGTGTTAGGGTGAATGAAAACATCTACAACCGTTTTGAACGCTTATGTTTCAGTGTGTCAAACAAGACGGATGATGTTGTTAGATTTGCCTCCTTCATTGAACTTACAGCATGTCTGTTTCTGTAACCACTTGTTTTTGGGCTGACCAGAGGAGAGAGAGCGGGCAGTCCTTCTGGAACAGGAGATGAAGGCCCAGGAACAGAGGCAGCGTCAGCTGGAGGAGAAGATGGTGATTGAAGAACAGAATAACGAGGAGAGGGTGAGACAGGTCATACAGAAGATGGAAGAGGAGATGTTCGTCCAGCAGCAGGAGACAAAGCGCGCCATGGACAGTAAGCTGAGGGAACAGGCTGCCCTGATGGGGAAGGGCTTTCAGGAGAACGCTAACAAAATGGCCAGCGAGATAGAGCAGTTGAGGAGGAGGAATAAAGAGGTAGAGGACAGCAAGTCCAGAGAGCTCGCAAAGATGATAGCGGATCAGGAGCGAAGAAATGCACAGAGCATGGAAGTGCTGAGGCAACAGCACAGACAGCAGATGGCAGCGATTAACAGCAGACCGAGACCTGCGTCTCGATCCTGTTCTGTACAGTGAAACGTGTTGATGTTCGTAGTGCACTGCTTTCACACAATTCTGAATTCATAACTACTATAATCTCACTGAAAACAATTCCATTGTGTTTTTACAGAAAATACTCACATGTAACCCCCCTTTGCAATCGTTTTCACAGTTAATTACACATTTTTTTTCTCTGTAACTGTAACTGATTAGTTACATTTATTTTGTAACTAAATCACGTAACGCTGTTACATGTAACTAGTTACTCCCAAACACTGGCAATGACTGTCTAAATGATTCCTAGGGCACCTAGTGAACATCACATAATGATTAATAGCTCATTAATTAACATAAAATGCTTACAAATGTTAATAAACTTTCAATTCATACAGTATATGATCAGGCACTTTATAACAATATACAAATGATTTTAACAGATGTTATACACTGATTAACAGTTCATTTATTAGTGTGCATTTGAATGCTTGCAAATGTAATTCAACTGGTTGCTTAAACTGATTAAAATAAGTTATATATCTTCTAATGCACTTCTTACATCTGCAAATACTCTTTTAGACACTATTCATGTTGACATATGATTGATTAACTCATAACCACAGTCTGTGAATTAACAGTCTGTAAAGTTGACACAGTGGTGTGCATGCACATTTCTACTTCTTACACATATTTGCAAATAGTTTATTAATTATTTGTTCAACTTCTTGCTGTACCACGTTGAAACTGTTCATCATTTGTAAATGTTGATGAACATTTACTATTAATAATTTATCAAGTATTCTTTATAGTGCTCAATTTTTATGCTTTTTAGCTCTATTCTTTTTTGATTACTGTAAAGTAACTCTTCAAACGTTACATTATTTTGATAAATGAACAAATATTTTCTTTCTCTCTTGGAATTTTTTCTTTATGTTGATTTATGATGAAAGGAATATCCTCTGTTTAAGGATATCGTCTACTATGAGTATTGAGGCAATAAAACATGTTTTGCACCAAAATGACTTTTATGTGGGCTTAGTTGTTGTTGTTGTTTTTATGTCTTTAGCAAGAATATACTGTAAATACTCTTAATACTCTTTGATCAACATTACTCCAATTTTGTTACAGTAGCTAAAAGTTAATCTCTCATAAAGGTCCTTAAGCTAACACTTATTTTAAGGCTCCATAATCATGTTAAACATTAACACAGCGTTTCCTGCAGTTTCCTGTTTAGCGTCCAAACTCTGGAATAACCTACCTAACATTGTTCGGGAGGCAGACACACTCTGTCAGTTTAAAGCTAGATTAAAGACCCATCTATTTAACCTGGCTTACACATAACACACTAACACATTTATACTGGACGCCGCGGACAGACGCCGAACGGCGCCGCCAGTGTGGCTACACTCATAGAAAATAATGTATTTGAATTTTAAAGATGTCGCGCGACGCTGCGCTTCTCATCCAGCCTGAAACGCAGTTTTTTTCACCTCCGTGCCCAAACGTCTTTGTTTGGGCTTCCGAAAGCGGATGATGTCAGGAAACAGTGGTTGCAATTTATTTTTTAACTCTGTTCCTGAGCATTATAACCCCAATTTGAGAGGGGGTTCAATCTTCAACTGGCTGGCAGGAGCCGCCACTGACATCCACGGAGGTTACAGGAAACAGCTGTAATTTGTCACGCCCCTGGACTGGTTTTGTTGTTGTTTCCCTCCCCATGTGTTCCGTGTCCCAGTTAATCGACCCATTCCATGCACCTGTGTTCCCCTGATTGCCGTGTGTTTAAAGCCCCAGTCTATTCAGTCTGTGTTTGTCGGGTCTGCTTGTTGGATGTCGTGTGTTTCCGTGTTCCTGTTGTGGATTTTCCCCTGTGATTCCAGTATTAAAGATTGTTAACGTTTCTCCGCGTCTATATTGTTCCTACCACAGCGAATCGCGACATAATTAAGCTTGTCCATAAGCGCCACCTGCTGTCAGCGAGTGGATTTACATAGACCTATATTTACATTCAGTCTGTGTGCAGTTTCTGTCTGGCCAAAAACAGACCGAATTTGCATGCCCTGCTGTAAATTTTGACCGGTTGATGAAAAACAAGCTTATGTGGATTCTACACATTTAAACAATTCAGATAAGCTATCTAGAATTATTTATGGAGCAGGTAAAATACATATAATAATTTATGAATCAATTATCATTTTGACTTTTCTTTATTTAAAGGCTGAAATGCGAGGTTTACCTTTTTATGAAACGTTTTCAAAGCTTTATTTGAACATTTACATTAGATATTTCAACATGCTATTAAACTGTTGTCAGTCAAGTTGTCATTTAAAATCTGGACATCATTGGTGATGTTATTGTTTTAGTGCTTATGCAAACAAAGTCATTTTATTTGTTGTTTGTTGATTTTTAAATATAAAACTTGGTGAAGTGATTTATGTGTCGGTACTTTTTGAACATCTCAAGCACATTTTAACAATACTGTGATCATACTGATAACCGTGATAATTTTGGTCTTTATAATCATGATAAGAAATTTTCATACCGTTACATCCCTAATCTGTATTGTTAAAAGCTCTATATAAATACAGGTGACTAGCATAATTAATGGTCAACTGAATGTACAGTAAAGGAATAATAGTCCTTATTTAAGTGGTAGTTAAGATTTAAAACACCAGAAATTGTCTTTAGTGTAGGGGAGTAATGGTTCAAGTATCTCATGGTTCAGTACATATTGTGGTTGTGTTATCGTTGGATGGGGGGACATTAATAATAAGTCATTAATGGTTGCTTGAGACACTTTACACAGTGTTATCACACTGTAAATCCCAACTCGCTCAGTCAGCTTGAAACTTTCATGTTACTGTACTGGACTAAGTAAAAACATTTTGGGCAAGACATTTTCCAAGATGTTTCAGTACACTTGACAAATTAAATGTTACAAGGCCCTTATCTGACTAGGAGTTTAGGTTAAATCAACGTTACTTTTTAATCACACAATTAAAAAAATGCTATGTCATATTAACAGAGAATATATTATCTTAAATGATGTACATTTACCAAGTTACTGGATGCCTGTTTTTATGTTTACTAAACACAAATAAAATTATTTGGTACAACTTAATAATTTTTGCATGCAAACGTATAATTAAAAACATGAATTATTAATTGTTAATTACTTTGTACATTACATTGATGCCATCAGTTTTCACTATATATGTTTACCCTGGGTTCTGTCTTTAGGAAACATGGGGTTTCTTTTCATGCTACGCTGACGATACGCAAATTTACCTACCCATGGCTCGGAACAATCAAACAGCTTTAATTCTCTGTTTGCCTGTTTGTAAGAGGTTAAATGCCGGCTTTCTAAAAACCTCCTTTTTTGAATGCAGATAAAACAGAGGTTATTGTTTTTGGCCCCTCTGTTTCTTCAGGAATTAACATGATTGATCTTGGATATCTGCAAACCTTTTCGGTGTGGAGTTTGGCAACCCTATCAAGCTTGATAAACATATTAGCTCTGTGATTGGATCTAGTTTCTTTTAGCTCCGCTTGCTTGCTAAAATTAAGCCGTTTCTATATGAGAAGACCTTGAAAGTTGCAATGCTCTAATTACGACTAGGCTGAACTGCAGCTCTCTGTATTATGGTATTTTAAAGTCTCAAATTACCTGATTGCATGTGGTTCAGAATGCAATAGAACACGTTCTGAAAGGATGCAAGAAATTCCCGCATGTCAGACCTTAGAATTGAGTTCAAAATCCTACTACTTTTCTATAAATCTTTACATAATCAAACACCAAGTTGTCTAGTTTACTCCACTCCTAAAAACCCTCATAAAGCCTAAGATCGGAAGATATAAAAAAAACTTGCTCCAAATTCAAAGAGCTCGTTTTAGATAGATAGAGCTTTTTCTGTGGCTGGTCCCACTTTATGGAACAGTCCTCCAAACTATATTAGGGTTGCTTCTATTTTATCTGCATTCAAACCTAGTCTTAAAACATACTTCTTTTCATCGGCGTTTAATACAAGGGAATGTCTTGTTTGCTTTTCAAAAACCTCCTTTTTTGAATGCAGATAAAACAGAGGTTATTGTTTTTGGCCCCTCTGTTTCTTCAGGAATTAACATGATTGATCTTGGATATCTGCAAACCTTTTCGGTGTGGAGTTTGGCAACCCTATCAAGCTTGATAAACATATTAGCTCTGTGATTGGATCTAGTTTCTTTTAGCTCCGCTTGCTTGCTAAAATTAAGCCGTTTCTATATGAGAAGACCTTGAAAGTTGCAATGCTCTAATTACGACTAGGCTGAACTGCAGCTCTCTGTATTATGGTATTTTAAAGTCTCAAATTACCTGATTGCATGTGGTTCAGAATGCAATAGAACACGTTCTGAAAGGATGCAAGAAATTCCCGCATGTCAGACCTTAGAATTGAGTTCAAAATCCTACTACTTTTCTATAAATCTTTACATAATCAAACACCAAGTTGTCTAGTTTACTCCACTCCTAAAAACCCTCATAAAGCCTAAGATCGGAAGATATAAAAAAAACTTGCTCCAAATTCAAAGAGCTCGTTTTAGATAGATAGAGCTTTTTCTGTGGCTGGTCCCACTTTATGGAACAGTCCTCCAAACTATATTAGGGTTGCTTCTATTTTATCTGCATTCAAACCTAGTCTTAAAACATACTTCTTTTCATCGGCGTTTAATACAAGGGAATGTCTTGTTTGCTTTTCTTTACTTTTTTTAATTTGTTATCCTGTGGTCTTTTATTTTTGTGTTGTACATCCTTGTTGCTGTTTTAAATGTTCTTCAGAAATAAACCGAACTGAACTGAACTGAATTTAATTATTGTGCATTTTAAAAGCATTTTGAAATCAAATGCAATAAATTGCAATGAGCAAAAACAAATGGTGACACCAAATCTGTTGTCTGCAGACGTGTGCAAACTTTGAAGGAAAGGCATCTGTAGTATGTGTGCCTAACATATTCAATGAAGAAAACGCAACACACACTAGGATAAGATACACACACTATCTTAACACCACAGACGCGGCAATAAGATATAGCACCTGAAACATACAGGTCACACAAACAAAGCATGAAATCATGTCTTAAACAAAAGTACTAGCCAAACCTAAGAAAGAAGATTAGATAAATGAAGGGCTATTGAGGAATGTGAGCAGGGATAGATGTATGGTTGAGCAAAGGTAAGACTTAGATGATTATAAAAGAAGATGTGAATAAGGAAGCCAGTTCATTTTTGGATTCAACTTTTAATTAGTAGACAAACTCCTTGTGTGTGTAAACAAGCCCGGTCTCATGAAAATGCGTATAAATAGTACGCCAAATAAAAACGAAAACTTGTGGTATTGATACACAAAAATGGACTTTGGCGTGCATATGATACGCAGTTTTCGCGTGCATATGATATGAAATTTGTTGGCGTGCATATCATACGCAGTTTTCGCGTGCATATGATATGAAATTTGTTGGCGTGCATATCATACGCAGTTTTCGCGTGCATATGATATGAAATTTGTTGGCGTGCATATCATACGCAGTTTTCGCGTGCATATGATATGAAATTTGTTGGCGTGCATATCATACGCAGTTTTCGCGTGCATATGATATGAAATTTGTTGGCGTGCATATCATACGCAGTTTTCGCGTGCATATGATATGAAATTTGTTGGCGTGCATATCATACGCAGTTTTCGCGTGCATATGATATGAAATTTGTTGGCGTGCATATCATACGCAGTTTTCGCGTGCATATGATATGAAATTTGTTGGCGTGCATATCATACGCAGTTTTCGCGTGCATATGATATGAAATTTGTTGGCGTGCATATCATACGCAGTTTTCGCGTGCATATGATATGAAATTTGTTGGCGTGCATATCATACGCAGTTTTCGCGTGCATATGATATGAAATTTGTTGGCGTGCATATCATACGCAGTTTTCGCGTGCATATGATATGAAATTTGTTGGCGTGCATATCATACGCAGTTTTCGCGTGCATATGATATGAAATTTGTTGGCGTGCATATCATACGCAGTTTTCGCGTGCATATGATATGAAATTTGTTGGCGTGCATATCATACGCAGTTTTCGCGTGCATATGATATGAAATTTGTTGGCGTGCATATCATACGCAGTTTTCGCGTGCATATGATATGAAATTTGTTGGCGTGCATATCATACGCAGTTTTCGCGTGCATATGATATGAAATTTGTTGGCGTGCATATCATACGCAGTTTTCGCGTGCATATGATATGAAATTTGTTGGCGTGCATATCATACGCAGTTTTCGCGTGCATATGATATGAAATTTGTTGGCGTGCATATCATACGCAGTTTTCGCGTGCATATGATATGAAATTTGTTGGCGTGCATATCATACGCAGTTTTCGCGTGCATATGATATGAAATTTGTTGGCGTGCATATCATACGCAGTTTTCGCGTGCATATGATATGAAATTTGTTGGCGTGCATATCATACGCAGTTTTCGCGTGCATATGATATGAAATTTGTTGGCGTGCATATCATACGCAGTTTTCGCGTGCATATGATATGAAATTTGTTGGCGTGCATATCATACGCAGTTTTCGCGTGCATATGATATGAAATTTGTTGGCGTGCATATCATACGCAGTTTTCGCGTGCATATGATATGAAATTTGTTGGCGTGCATATCATACGCAGTTTTCGCGTGCATATGATATGAAATTTGTTGGCGTGCATATCATACGCAGTTTTCGCGTGCATATGATATGAAATTTGTTGGCGTGCATATCATACGCAGTTTTCGCGTGCATATGATATGAAATTTGTTGGCGTGCATATCATACGCAGTTTTCGCGTGCATATGATATGAAATTTGTTGGCGTGCATATCATACGCAGTTTTCGCGTGCATATGATATGAAATTTGTTGGCGTGCATATCATACGCAGTTTTCGCGTGCATATGATATGAAATTTGTTGGCGTGCATATCATACGCAGTTTTCGCGTGCATATGATATGAAATTTGTTGGCGTGCATATCATACGCAGTTTTCGCGTGCATATGATATGAAATTTGTTGGCGTGCATATCATACGCAGTTTTCGCGTGCATATGATATGAAATTTGTTGGCGTGCATATCATACGCAGTTTTCGCGTGCATATGATATGAAATTTGTTGGCGTGCATATCATACGCAGTTTTCGCGTGCATATGATATGAAATTTGTTGGCGTGCATATCATACGCAGTTTTCGCGTGCATATGATATGAAATTTGTTGGCGTGCATATCATACGCAGTTTTCGCGTGCATATGATATGAAATTTGTTGGCGTGCATATCATACGCAGTTTTCGCGTGCATATGATATGAAATTTGTTGGCGTGCATATCATACGCAGTTTTCGCGTGCATATGATATGAAATTTGTTGGCGTGCATATCATACGCAGTTTTCGCGTGCATATGATATGAAATTTGTTGGCGTGCATATCATACGCAGTTTTCGCGTGCATATGATATGAAATTTGTTGGCGTGCATATCATACGCAGTTTTCGCGTGCATATGATATGAAATTTGTTGGCGTGCATATCATACGCAGTTTTCGCGTGCATATGATATGAAATTTGTTGGCGTGCATATGATACGAAATTTGTTGCCGTGCATATGATACGCAATTTTCGCTTGCATATGATACGAAATTTGTTGGCATGCATATAATACGCAGTTTTCGCATGCATATGATACGCATCTACCCCACAACCCTAAACCTACCCATCGCGTAGCATATACACGCCAAAGTCCATTTTTTCCTATCAATACCACGAGTTTTTGTTTTTATTTGGCGTACTATTTGTACGCACTTTCATGAGATCGGGTTGGTGTAAACATACTTGCCAATTATTTCAAAGGAGCAAAAGAATCCAATCTAGTAAAACTGTCTAAGAGTGAATTCCATATTAAAAGGATGGCATGATGGTCAGAAAGAAAGAAAAACTGAGATCTAACATGTGACCTTTGTAATGTGCAGATCAGTCAATATGTTGAAACCAATCAAAACACTCAATAAAGACAGAGAGACCTTTGACCTTTCTGAGTTTTTCAGTGTTATAAAGTCCTCCAAAGTAAGAATACTTAAAAACTTGCATTGACAACAAATTAGCAGATTCAGACAGAAAGGCTTTGTCAGTCTTACGTAGCAATGACAGTAGTGAAAGAGCCAAAGACGCTGAGAAAGCTCTGCTAAGTTATTAAAATGTATGCCAGGACAAAACAGCCGTTTAGCTTTATGCTGAAAAATAGGAACAGTATTGGGAGAAGTTGATGAATGGATAAAACTGCACAGAGAGGAGTGACGTATGCAGCGATTCGGTCGCAGAACACCAGTATTCCAGCAGACTTCACAGGAATCCTTCCCTCGGTCCCCTTTTAAGTTCACTAACTGGTGTGCAGTGTGTCTTAGAGCCATGCCAGAGCGATCCTCATCCTCAGAAACGTCACCGTAGCATAAATCCTGAGTCCAACAACAGCTGGGTCGACTCCACCAGAGGAAGTCCAAGGATAATAAAAACAGTAATTAAATGAAGACATGCTGGGATACATTGCAGCAGTAAAACAGCTCCAAAACTTTATAGCCATTAAAGTAAATCAATAAACATGAAATAAAACAAGAAAAATGGTGAGAAGTAGTGTGGCAGCCAGATGTGCCCTTGTTCCCTATTAACCTGAGTCTCAGTTTAATAGTCAAGTCTTTGTCGTATCTGTTATGCTTGGCCAGTGTCGTTGTGAGTTTCAGTTTTGTAGACTGTAAGGACCTTTGAAATAACTGCATTTGGTGAAGTGATATGAACATGTAATGCTGTGAAGACCTGCCTGGAACTACTTAATATAAATAACTGCACACCTTAGAATATTAACCAACCAATCAAAATGAAGCCCAGCCCAGTAGTATAACAATCATTTACTTTTTAGCTGACGCTTTTACCCCAACCAACTGATTTAACACATTCTATGGGTCACAGTTTATGAGTAAAATAGTTCCCTGGACTCTTGTGTTGTTAGTGTCATACAGTACTGATGGAGTCATGAGTACACATTAAAGTGTCCCAATTCTTTTCATAGTGTCTGATACACTGGAGGGGAAAGTTCTTAGGAATTTCCATTCAGTTTCATCAGAAACCAGTTTAAACAGACAGTCTTCTGTACTCTTCTTATTTCTGGAATATTACTGGTCAGCTTTTGTTGTTCATAGCTCAGATACACAAGATGTCATTCCAGTCTGTGTGATCTAGTACCACAAAAAAGAAAAGCATCTTCTCTTTTTATGTGGCTGCACATTCTAGAAACAATCCAAGCTTCTTGTATCTGCAGTCACATGCTTTCCACTTTGCAGTTGCTGATTTTGAAAGTAAAACCAAGATTTAAACCGCACATTGTTGTTTTCTCAGTGAATAGGAGGAGCTCAAATCAGCCACAGAGAATAACCGGAGACACACTGAGAGACCAGGAACGTCCCCTAACTCACTCTAGACCAATCAGCATCCAGAGTCTGGAGCTGAAGGTGTGTCTAAGAATCATGGGTAGAATATCAGGAAGCTGCGACATGAACACAACTCAGACTGAAGTTAGACTGGAGTGAACTAAAGCAAACCGGTAAGAGACGCTCCTTCATTCAGATCATGTGTGTGTGTGTGTGTGTGTGTGTGTGTGTATGTTAGTGAACTCTACAGCCTGACGTGTCTTGATTGAAGCTCTAACAAAACATGTCCAGAACATCTAAGGTCTTTGTTTATGTGACATGATTAACTTGTATTTTACTTCTTTAGTAGAGACCAGCATCAACTAAACCCAGTCTGGTTAAAGACTGTAGCTGGTCACAAACAAATCTGACAGCATTTCTATGTGTCTTACTCAGCCTGCTTGTGTAGTTTGATGTGAAAGTGTGTTGTTAAAGCAATATTTTACACAAACAGAAAGAGGAAAGGCTGCTCGTGTGGGGAATTCCTGTACTGTCTAATGCAGGAGTATTGGAGTATTTCTCAATGCGGTTGATTAAAGGAAGAGAAATGTGTTTGGGTCTCCAGTGGTCATGGACAAACCAGTGTGCTTGATTGACACGGCGTCCGATGGGAAGCTGTGTGTGCAGGGGTCAGCGTTGCAGGTTCTGGAGCAGATCCAGCAGCCCGTGGTGGTGGTGGCTGTGGTGGGTCTCTATCGCACCGGGAAGTCCTACCTGATGAATCGACTGGCCGGGAAGCAAACAGGTCAGCAGCACTGATGCCATCCAAACGCTCGTGCCCTTCAAATGAATGCATGCAAGTCATTGTGGGGTTTCTGGTGTGTGGTTATCAGGGTTTGCACTGGGCAGCACAATCGAGTCCAAGACGAAGGGCATCTGGATGTGGTGCGTGCCTCACCCCACTAAAGCAGCAACCACTCTGGTGCTGCTGGACACCGAGGGACTCGGAGACGTGGACAAGGTGAAGTAACAAATTTACCAAATTACTAGAGCACAAGGGTCCAATAACACTTTCACTTCTGCAGCAGAGATAACCTTAAAGGTGACCTTTTATGCCCCTCTTTACAAGATGTAAAATTAGTCTCTAATGTCCCCAGAGTGTGTACATGAAGTTGTAGCTCAAAATACCCCACAGTAGAGCCCTGCACGGGCTCCAGCCGGGCCAAAAGGCTATAAAGGAAGCATTTACAATCTCACTCCCCCATGACAGCGCGAGGGCGCAAGAAATCACAAGATGCATCGGTGAATATATAGCCAAAGACCTACAGCCATTCTCCGTGGTGGACAGCGAAGGTTTTAGGAGGTTAGTATACACACTCGAGCCAAAATATAGATTCCCATCACGGCCTACTTTAGTCAAACGATATTACCAGCTCTCTACAAAGAGACAAGGGCTAACGTTGTCCAGAGCCTAAAACAAGCGGAGTGCATCTCACTCACCACAGATGGGTGGACTTCACAGGCTACTCAGACAGGGTTCGTACACATTTATACCAATAAATTTCCATTACTTTTCCATGACTTTTCCATGACTTTTGAGACAATATTCATGACCTAAATGTTCCATTATTTTACAATAAGAATAAAAATCTGTTCAAATTATCATAGCATATGTTAACTAAAATGAATACATGGCAAATTATTACAATTTATCAATAAATTCAATGTACACTATAGGGCTGCTACCAGTCAGATTTAATCATTTACACTGCAAATAACAATAATTACAACTGCAATAAATAATATTATGAGATTGTTTTAAATGCATTTATGATTATACAAATAAGAAATGTTGAGGGAAAAACTGCATACTTTTCAACATACTTCTCAACTGAACTACCAGTAAGTGACGGTAAGTCACTTGATGAGTGAGTCATTGAGTCATTCATTCAACTGATTAAGTGTGTTATCATGCTGCTATCTTAAGGACTTTCGTGGACAGCTGACTCCTAAAGTTTTTGATACTCTTCATATTCTGTGTGCTGGTCAGATAGAAATTAATCTTTTCC